TGTGAATGGAAGCATCTTCAGGTGCTTTAATTTCCAAAATGGGTCTTATATTTTTTCCTGGGTAGTAGGTTTTTTTAAGTCACTTGTCTCAAAATGAATTTTTGTCAAAATATTGGCTCATCTTAAAACGAAATTGGTCAATACATACACAGAGTAGAAAGTCACCTGTGCCTAACACATGGCTTATTAAGGTGTATCGGTCCATCATACACACAACACTTGGTCATGATTAATTACCAGTTTAATTATCCAATTTAAGGTTTGCTTCTTAATTATTGTCACCATCCTGTAGCAGTGATTTACCTGTATGTTAAAAAGTAGTTCATTTACACAAAACATGAAAACATTTAGTTTGTTGCATGCATATTCAGAATCAATAAAAATACAATGTCAAACGAGTATGGACGTGACAATATCTGATCCCCACAATTCTGAAAGGAAATTAATATTGCGCTTGTTTACTAAAGGACTGTGATAGGGCACTTTGTCAAATTTAGTGTTTGGACAATGAAAGTATTGTTCATTGATAGAATCTATATCTGTGTGCTGCATTTTTCATATGTTTATTGTTTCTTGAAGCATATCAAAGCAAATTATAATTGTGTTTAATTGTCATTATTGGAGTTGTTATCATATGTTTTGTTTTTTGGGTGAATAAACAATAAAAGGAGAAAGTAGAAATAAATTGATTTGTTTATTTACTGCCAGATTAAACTACGCTGTGTTCATGCTATCGTAGCCAAACTTCCTTCAACCGTTATCGATGTAATTTCGAGATAACAAGTTTTGACTGTAATATATTTTGTATGAAGAGTTATGGTTTTTGTATATTGATATTTTGTATGAAGAGTTATGTTCCTTGTATGTTAATATTTTGTATGAAGAGTTTTGGTCCTTGTATATTAATATTTTGTATGAAGAGTTATGGTCCTTGTATGTTAATATTTTGTATGAAGTGTTATGGTCCTTGTATGTTAATATTTTGTATGAAGTGTTATGTTCCTTGTATGTTAATATTTTGTATGAAGAGTTTTGGTCCTTGTATATTGATATTTTGTATGAAGAGTTATGTTCCTTGTATGTTAATATTTTGTATGAAGTGTTATGTTCCTTGTATGTTAATATTTTGTATGAAGAGTTATGGTCCTTGTATATTGATATTTTGTATGAAGAGTCATGGTCCTTATTTATGTATATTTTCTGTATGAATATTTGTGGTCCTGGAAAATTTAATAAAACATGGAGAGTAAGGTCATTCTCAGTATCAAAAGTAAGAAGCTTTTGTTTTACATTAATGTTTAATGATGTAAAAGAAAATGACATGCAACAAAAAGCAATCTGTACTAAAAACTATTGTTGGACTCCTTCAATGTGAACTTCTGTATTATACTTACAGCTGTATAGTATGTGTGGACTTAGTATTATACTTACAGCTGTATAGTATGTGTGGACTTAGTATTATACTTACAGCTGTATAGTATGTGTGGACTTAGTATTATGCTTACAGCTGTATAGTATGTGTGGACTTAGTATTATACTTACAGCTGTATAGTATGTGTGGACTTAGTATTATACTTACAGCTGTATAGTATGTGTGGACTTAGTATTATACTTACAAGTATGTGTGGACTTAGTATTATACTTACAGCTGTATAGTATGTGTGGACTTAGTATTATACTTACAGCTGTATAGTATGTGTGGACTTAGTATTATACTTACAGCTGTATAGTATGTGTGGACTTAGTATTATACTTACAGCTGTATAGTATGTGTGGACTTAGTATTATACTTACAGCTGTATAGTATGTGTGGACTTAGTATTATACTTACAGCTGTATAGTATGTGTGGACTTAGTATTATACTTACAAGTATGTGTGGACTTAGTATTATACTTACAGCTGTATAGTATGTGTGGACTTAGTATTATACTTACAAGTATGTGTGGACTTAGTATTATACTTACAGCTGTATAGTATGTGTGGACTTAGTATTATACTTACAGCTGTATAGTATGTGTGGACTTAGTATTATACTTACAGCTGTATAGTATGTGTGGACTTAGTATTATACTTACAGCTGTATAGTATGTGTGGACTTAGTATTATACTTACAGCTGTATAGTATGTGTGGACTTAGTATTATGCTTACAGCTGTATAGTATGTGTGGACTTAGTATTATACTTACAAGTATGTGTGGACTTAGTATTATACTTACAAGTATGTGTGGACTTAGTATTATACTTACAGCTGTATAGTATGTGTGGACTTAGTATTATACTTACAGCTGTATAGTATGTGTGGACTTAGTATTATACTTACAGCTGTATAGTATGTGTGGACTTAGTATTATACTTACAGCTGTATAGTATGTGTGGACTTAGTATTATACTTACAAGTATGTGTGGACTTAGTATTATACTTACAGCTGTATAGTATGTGTGGACTTAGTATTATACTTACAAGTATGTGTGGACTTAGTATTATACTTACAACTGTATAGTATGTGTGGACTTAGTATTATACTTACTTAGTATTATACTTACAGCTGTATAGTATGTGTGGACTTAGTATTATACTTACAGCTGTATAGTATGTGTGGACTTAGTATTATACTTACAGCTGTATAGTATGTGTGGACTTAGTATTATATACAGCTGTATAGTATGTGTGGACTTAGTATTATACTTACATGTGTATAGTATGTGTGGACTGTATTATGTGTACAAGTATGTGTGGACTTAGTATTATACTTACATGTGTGTATAGTATGTGTGGACTTAGTATTATACTTACAGCTGTATAGTATGTGTGGACTTAGTATTATACTTACAGCTGTATAGTATGTGTGGACTTAGTATTATACTTACAAGTATGTGTGGACTTAGTATTATACTTACAGCTGTATAGTATGTGTGGACTTAGTATTATACTTACAAGTATGTGTGGACTTAGTATTATACTTACAGCTGTATAGTATGTGTGGACTTAGTATTATACTTACAGCTGTATAGTATGTGTGGACTTAGTATTATACTTACAGCTGTATAGTATGTGTGGACTTAGTATTATACTTACAAGTATGTGTGGACTTAGTATTATACTTACAGCTGTATAGTATGTGTGGACTTAGTATTATACTTACAGCTGTATAGTATGTGTGGACTTAGTATTATACTTACAGCTGTATAGTATGTGTGGACTTAGTATTATACTTACAGCTGTATAGTATGTGTGGACTTAGTATTATACTTACAGCTGTATAGTATGTGTGGACTTAGTATTATACTTACAAGTATGTGTGGACTTAGTATTATACTTACAGCTGTATAGTATGTGTGGACTTAGTATTATACTTACAGCTGTATAGTATGTGTGGACTTAGTATTATACTTACAGCTGTATAGTATGTGTGGACTTAGTATTATACTTACAGCTGTATAGTATGTGTGGACTTAGTATTATACTTACAGCTGTATAGTATGTGTGGACTTAGTATTATACTTACAAGTATGTGTGGACTTAGTATTATACTTACAGCTGTATAGTATGTGTGGACTTAGTATTATACTTACAGCTGTATAGTATGTGTGGACTTAGTATTATACTTACAGCTGTATAGTATGTGTGGACTTAGTATTATACTTACAGCTGTATAGTATGTGTGGACTTAGTATTATACTTACAGCTGTATAGTATGTGTGGACTTAGTATTATACTTACAGCTGTATAGTATGTGTGGACTTAGTATTATACTTACAGCTGTATAGTATGTGTGGACTTAGTATTATACTTACAGCTGTATAGTATGTGTGGACTTAGTATTATACTTACAAGTATGTATGGACTTAGTATTATACTTACAACTGTATAGTATGTGTGGACTTAGTATTATACTTACAGCTGTATAGTATGTGTGGACTTAGTATTATACTTACAAGTATGTGTGGACTTAGTATTATACTTACAGCTGTATAGTATGTGTGGACTTAGTATTATACTTACAGCTGTATAGTATGTGTGGACTTAGTATTATACTTACAGCTGTATAGTATGTGTGGACTTAGTATTATACTTACAGCTGTATAGTATGTGTGGACTTAGTATTATACTTACAGCTGTATAGTATGTGTGGACTTAGTATTATACTTACAGCTGTATAGTATGTGTGGACTTAGTATTATACTTACAGCTGTATAGTATGTGTGGACTTAGTATTATACTTACAGCTGTATAGTCATAGTAATAATATTATTAGTGATGGATTTATAGATGTATAAGTAAAGTCACAGAAGAAGGTAAAAGACTGTTTCCTTCATTGGTTATCTCTTACTATGTTTTTATTTGATTAAAGGGAGTTGTGACTAGAGTTGAGGGAGTTGTGACTAGAGTTGAGGGAGTTGTAACTTGAGTTGAGGGAGTTGTGACTAGAGTTGAGGGAGTTGTAACTTGAGTTAATGGAGTTGTGACTAGAGTTGAGGGAGTTGTAACTTGAGTTGAGGGAGTTGTGACTAGAATTGAGGGAGTTGTAACTTGAGTTAAGGGAGTTGTGACTAGAGTTGAGGGAGTTTTAACTTGAGTTGAGGGAGTTGTGACTAGAGTTGAGGGAGTTGTAACTTGAGTTAGGGGAGATGTGACTAGAGTTGAGGGAGTTTTAACTTGAGTTGAGGGAGTTGTGACTAGAGTTGAGGGAGTTTTAACTTGAGTTGAGGGAGTTGTGACTAGAGTTGAAGGAGTTGTAATTTAAGTGGAAGGAGTTGTGACTAGAGTTGAGGGAGTTGTGACTAGAATTGCGGGAGTTGTAACTTGAGTTGAGGGAGTTGTGACTTGAGTTGAGGGAGTTGTAACTTGAGTTAATGGAGTTGTGACTAGAGTTGAGGGAGTTGTGACTAGTGTTGATCGAGTTTTGACTAGAGTTGAGGGAGTTGTGATGCAATTGTATATACATTTCTTTCTTGTCTACAGTCATACATGTTAATCACTGTATTTTTGCTTTTGCAGTTGTGCTGATTCTGTTGCCATGGTAGCCAATATTTGTAAACACATCAAGTACATCTCTTCAACAGTTGGTTTCATCAGAGAACAGATATCCTCTCAACCACAGTTTTTAGAAAATCAGGCAAGTACTTTTATATATTTGTGTGTCACATAGAAACACACACAAGATGAGAAAAGTTTACAGAAAGGCATCACCTATGTCCTCCTTTAGTAAAGTTATGGGAGGTTACCTGTTGTAACAAAGCATCTCTTCTATTACCTGTAATAGAGCTCATTAGTATTCTTCCTTACTGAATATACTTCTTTGAAATTGTTTTTTCCAATTGTACAGTCAAAGGTCACTGGTTTGGTATCATTGATACAAGGAAAGACAACTCTGTAATGTTAAAAAGTCTAAAAATATTGTTAAATATATTGCTCTGATAGGTAAGTCTATTATGAAAAAATCTATTGCTCAAAAAACAAGCCTTTCCTGAAAATAAGCTTTGAAACCATTACTTGATACAGGAAAAATTCATGAAATATTGTACATAATTTCTTGAAATTATGCTTTCGTCACTTTACGCTCTGACAGAGATTGTATGGAAATATCCTTAATGGAACTTGTTTTAAAACTTTCTTCAATTTAATCAGGAGCTTGGCTAGACTTTGTTAGTTTTGAAGACTTGAGATAAGCCTAACGAGCCGTGTGAAAGGTTGAGAGCTATGAAGGAAAACTAATTAACAAGTTATCACAATTTGACAGACACCGTTAGATAATACTTGTAATGTGTCCATTAAATTCTCTCTCTAGCATAACATGAAAATGCATTTAACCAAGCGAAAAGGAAAGGATTTGTGATTGAACAATTTTTATTTAAATTTTGACTTTGATACCTGATATCAATGTATAGAAAACTTGTTCCCTCATTTAGTTACTTACTAACCAGTATTGTAGCTTTGTTACTAAGTCTTACTAAAAATTGTTCACTACTGCTATGTAGCATTGTTACCGAGAAAATGTATTTACCAGTACTGCTGTGAAGCATTGTTACCGAGAAAATGTATTTACCAGTACTGCTGTGAAGCATTGTTACCGAGAAAATGTATTTACCAGTTTACCAGTACTGCTGTGAAGCATTGTTACCGAGAAAATGTATTTACCAGTACTGCTGTGAAGCATTGTTACCGAGAAAATGTATTTACCAGTACTGCTGTGTAGCATTGTTACTTAATGTTACTTTGAAGATTTGTTATCTACTAGTACTGATGTGTAGCATTGTTACTTAATGTTACTTTGAAGATTTGTTATCTACTAGTACTGATGTGTAGCATTGTTACTTAATGTTACTTTGAAGATTTGTTATCTACTAGTACTGATGTGTAGCATTGTTACTTAATGTTACTTTGAAGATTTGTTATCTACTAGTACTGATGTGTAGCATTGTTACTTAATGTTACTTTGAAGATTTGTTATCTACTAGTACTGATGTGTAGCATTGTTACTTAATGTTACTTTGAAGATTTGTTATTACTGCTGTGTAGCATTGTTACTTAATGTTACTTTGAAGATTTGTTATCTACTAGTACTGATGTGTAGCATTGTTACTTAATGTTACTTTGAAGATTTGTTATCTACTAGTACTGCTGTGTAGCATTGTTACTTAATGTTACTTTGAAGATTTGTTATCTACTAGTACTGATGTGTAACTTTGTTACCAAGAGTTACTTAGATAATGTGTTTATTTACCGGCACTTTTGTGGACTTTTCTGTGTTAGATTTATTTTTAGAAAGTCTAATATCATGCCAATTAATTCAAGTTATCTGTCCAGGAAATTTAATTTCATAAAAATTTCGGAACATTTATGTTCTTATTATTCCTTGTTTTTCTCACTCTGAGTACACTTGACTATCAAATAACACAATTCTCAAGTCAGATGCCAAAAGTTTTCTTCCTAGTTCCTGCCACATCCTAATAGCCCTTTCCAATAACAATCCTCTTGTCTTACTAACTGCCGACTTCTCTCAGCTAATCTCTAATGGAGATATACCATTAAACAAACTTAATAATATGTCAAGGCAAGAATAGTTTCCTGTTGGGAAAAGATGATTCTGTAATTGTACAAGTTTGGCTTCTGGACTGGTATACAGAAAACTAAAACAGACAGGTGTCTGCGAAGTCATTTTTAATTTCAAAAATTTGTTATGAGAGGTTTTGTATGCTATGGCTAAGGATGATTAAGTAGTGTGCATGTGTTTCTGGGAAGAAAAACAAAAGGTTTACCATCTAGATCAGCACAAATGTCTTAGACTTTATCAGTCATAAGCTAGTCAACTACATTCCACATTCCACTAGTGTGTCAGTATATCTAAACCTCCCACTGGTCAACTGTGTCAACTAGTGTGTGTATCTAAACCTCCCACATGTACACTAGTGTGTGTCACTGGTCAACTGTGTCCCACATTACACTAGTGTGTCAGTATATCTAAACCTCCCACTGGTCAACTGTGTCCCACATTACACTAGTGTGTCAGTATATCTAAACCTCCCACTGGTCAACTGTGTCCCACATTACACTAGTGTGTCAGTATATCTAAAGCAGATGCACTGGTCAACAGCTGAAAAATTTTCAACATCTTTAGAACTGCCATTACTGAATGTACCCCACACTGAAGTTTATCAAATTTGTGAAGCCATCTCCCAGTTGACTGTACCCCACACTGAAGTATATCAAATTTGTGAAGCCATCTCCCAGTTGACTGTACCCCACACTGAAGTATATCAAATTTGTGAAGCCATCTCCCAGTTGACTGTACCCCACACTAAAGTATATCAAATTTGTGAAGCCATCTCCCAGTTGACTGTACCCCACACTGAAGTATATCAAATTTGTGAAGCCATCTCCCAGTTGACTGTACCCCACACTGAAGTATATCAAATTTGTGAAGCCATCTCCCAGTTGACTGTTTCCCACACTGAAGTATATCAAATTTGTGAAGCCATCCACTTGTCATGTTTCATTACTAGGTATTGTTTGACTTGATATTGCTCTAAAAGAAGAGAGCTTAGTACTTACAACAAAGTTATTATAGAACAGACACTCCAATGTAGGAGTATAAATTGTAAATATTTTTTTCAATTTTTTTTTTAACAGGATGGTACAAGTCCTTCACAAATCCTCAGTCATTGTCAGGACACTAGTAGAAATGTATCAGACTTAGAGAAGGAAATCCAGCTCCTCAACAGACAAGTAAAAAAGGTATGTCCTATTTCTTAAAATGTATTGACGAAAGGTGAACATCAGTCTTGTTATTATAAATAAATAACACAATAAATAAGGAAATAAATCTGTTTAAGATATGTTCATCTCTTAAAGAAATAGCATGTTTCTGTTTTACATTAATAATATCAAGTTGGCAGGTGCCCTTTTAAAATGAATGGTGATTAATGTCTCTGCCTGGTAATAAGAAGTTTCAAAAGAAATCATAACAAATGCTATATCATTGTCCTTTAATAAGCCCACCCCCTAGACTTCAAGGCAAAGATAATAAATGTTGGCTTCCTGAGGTCCTATGATAAGCCCAACCCAAAGGTCAAAGGTATCGACTTATTGTAGGATAAGTACAATGGGTAAAATGTACATCAGAAAATCCATGTGAACTTGGACGGCTTTGTACAATATGGAGTAAGTAATTTATATCATTATATATGATGAAGAAGGTGCTCAGTCCATGTACATGAACTTGGACGGCTTTGTACAATATGGAGTAACTAATTTATATCATTATATATGATGAAGAAGGTGCTCAGTCCATGTACATTAGTTCTCCAAAATTCATTTTGATTTTCATATGTCTTGGTATTCAGTCAATAAAGAAAAATCTAGACCACCTGTGAAGTGGTGGGTGTATTTAACAGAGCTATAACTCTATAATATGTAACCCTTTGTCAGGGAAACCTGTACTTCATGGGGCCATGCTATGATTGTATTAATATAACTGGTGTGTTTGAGTACAGCAAGACTAGCGTATCTTATTGTTTGTAGTGTATTAACAGATTAACATGTTCTGTGAAGAAGAGGTGTATATGTGTGTAGGTTTCATTTGGAATGTTTAGCAACATGCTTTGTTTTTTATAACTAAAATTAGTAGTTGTGAACTTTTCTCTGATGTACTGTGTGATAAACATGTGGTTTGAATAGTTTTTTAAATTTGATTTATTTAAACATAATTCTTTGTTGGTGGTCTCAAAATTTTGATTGTTAGAAAAAAAATTCTCATTATAATATCAATTGAAATATAGTTTGGTTATTTGGAAATGTTTCTTCAAAAAGTTTTAGTTTTATTTCAGTAATTTACAGCCTCCTATTGGTATGATCTCCTGACTTGAATAATTTTATGGAAATATTGCATGTAAATCATCAGAAATATCTTACAAGGTGGTCCCATGTTTCTGTGTTTTATTTTCCTGAGATAAATGTACTTAGATTGCACAAATCATATTTCAAAACATGTTACAATCAGGAAAATACCAACATGGCAACATAATCATAATCCAAACTCAAATTCTATAAAACTAGGTCAGTAACAACAAAATACCAACATGTCAACATAATCATAATCCAAACTCAAATTCTATACAACTAGACAGTAACAACAAAATACCAACATGGCAACATCATCATAGTCCAAACTCAAATTCTATACAACTAGACAGTAACAACAAAATACCAACATGGCAACATCATCATAGTCCAAACTCAAATTCTATACAACTAGACAGTAACAACAAAATACCAACATGGCAACATAATTATAGTCCAAACTCAAATTCTATACAACTAGACAGTAACAACAAAATACCAACATGGCAACATAATTATAGTCCAAACTCAAATTCTATACAACTAGACAGTAACAACAAAATACCAACATGGCAACATCATCATAGTCCAAACTCAAATTCTATACAACTAGACAGTAACAACAAAATACCAACATGGCAACATAATCATAGTCCAAACTCAAATTCTATACAACTAGACAGTAACAACAAAATACCAACATGGCAACATCATCATAGTCCAAACTCAAATTCTATACAACTAGACAGTAACAACAAAATACCAACATGGCAACATAATCATAATCCAAACTCAAATTCTATAAAACTAGGTCAGTAACAACAAAATACCAACATGGCAACATAATTATAGTCCAAACTCAAATTCTATACAACTAGACAGTAACAACAAAATACCAACATGGCAACATAATCATAGTCCAAACTCAAATTCTATACAACTAGACAGTAACAACAAAATACCAACATGGCAACATCATCATAGTCCAAACTCAAAATCCATAAAATTTGGGCAAAATATGGACAAAAGAAAGATTTACACGGAGACTCCTGAAAAAGTAGGAGAAAAAGACCAGGTGTTCTGGAGGAGCAAGTATCTTCTGCTTCAACGATGACACCCGCCATGTAAACCTTGGGCAATCCACGTAAGGAATGTCACGTTCTCAAATGAGAACAAGGTATACAACAATGGAACCAACAGGCAAACTAACAAGCATCAAACACATGTAGGAATTGGAATTATTTAGAACACTCTGTGGTGTGGATGAAGATATGTCAGAATGTATCCAGAATGAGGTTACATAATAATCTTTTCTTGTCGAGATACAACATCATTAATATGACTCCACACCATGTTGCTGAAATACTTGATAAATGGCAGTTTGAACAGTTAACTGTCAGCAAGATAAAATTGATGGAGGTCAGTTTGACGAGAGGGCTTTACCACAAACCATCACAAGCCTTACAAATGATTCCCTCCCAAACTCCTGTCTACCTCACTAAACAAGATAAAATTGATGGAGGTCAGTTTGACAAGAGGGCTTTACCACAAACCATCACAAGCCTTACAAATGATTCCCTCCCAAACTCCTGTCTACCTCACTAAACAAGATAAAATTGATGGAGGTCAGTTTGACAAGAGGGCTTTACCACAAACCATCACAAGCCTTACAAATGATTCCCTCCCAAACTCCTGTCTACCTCACTAAACAAGATAAAATTGATGGAGGTCAGTTTGACAAGAGGGCTTTACCACAAACCATTTTAGCAGATACAGCTGTAAGCCTTACAGAATGTTGAATTCCCTCTGATGGTTGAATTTTAGCAGATACAGCTGTAATCCTGTCTACCTCACTAAACAGCAGATACAGCTGTAATTCACCCTGATGGTTCAGTTTGACAGATACAGCTGTAATGTCTTCACCTGACAAACCATCACAAGCCTTACTGAAATTTTGATTCCCTCACCCAAACTCCTGTCTACCTGACTAAACAAGATAAAATTGATGGAGGTCAGTTTGACAAGAGGGCTTTACCACAAACCATCACAAGCCTTACATAATGATTCCCACCCTGATGGTTGAATTTTAGCAGATACAGCTGTAATGTCTTCACCTGATGGTTGAATTTTAACAGATACAGCTGTAATGTCTTCACCCTGATGGTTGAATTTTAGCAGATACAGCTGTAATGTCTTCACTCTGATGGTTGAATTTTAGCAGATACAGCTGTAATGTCTTCACTCTGATGGTTGAATTTTAGCAGATACAGCTGTAATGTCTTCACTCTGATGGTTGAATTTTAGCAGATACAGCTGTAATGTCTTCACTCTGATGGTTGAATTTAACAGATACAGCTGTAATGTCTTCACTCTGATGGTTGAATTTTAGCAGATACAGCTGTAATGTCTTCACTCTGATGGTTGAATTTTAGCAGATACAGCTGTAATGTCTTCACTCTGATGGTTGAATTTAACAGATACAGCTGTAATGTCTTCACCCTGATGGTTGAATTTTAGCAGATACAGCTGTAATGTCTTCACCCTGATGGTTGAATTTTAGCAGATACAGCTGTAATGTCTTCACCCTGATGGTTGAATTTTAGCAGATACAGCTGTAATGTCTTCACTCTGATGGTTGAATTTTAGCAGATACAGCTGTAATGTCTTCACTCTGATGGTTGAATTTTAGCAGATACAGCTGTAATGTCTTCACTCTGATGGTTGAATTTTAGCAGATACAGCTGTAATGTCTTCACTCTGATGGTTGAATTTTAGCAGATACAGCTGTAATGTCTTCACTCTGATGGTTGAATTTTAGCAGATACAGCTGTAATGTCTTCACCCTGATGGTTGAATTTTAGCAGATACAGCTGTAATGTCTTCCCCCTGATGGTTGAATTTTAGCAGATACAGCTGTAATGTCTTCACTCTGATGGTTGAATTTTAACAGATACAGCTGTAATGTCTTCACTCTGATGGTTGAATTTTAGCAGATACAGCTGTAATGTCTTCACTCTGATGGTTGAATTTTAGCAGATACAGCTATGATGTCTTCACCCTGATGGTTGAATTTTAGCAGATACAGCTGTAATGTCGTAATTTGGAGAATAAACATTTCTGTTTGACAGGCATTCAATCAAAAAAGTTCAAAGCATTCTTCACTTTTAAAATGTAATCTTGTGTGAACCATCATGAATGCAGTTTGCTTTTTATTTATTTTATTTAGAGTTGAAATACCAAGCTGGCATCAAGTTGATTATTAGGTCGCCTGAGCCGAAGCCTCATGGTGACCTATTGCCATCATGATTTGTCTGTCGTCGTGCGTTGTTAACTTTTCACATATTCGACTTCTTCTCAAGAACCACTGAATATATTTTGACCAAACTTGGCACAAAGCATCCCCATGGGAACCCGCTTCAAGTTTGCAAAGAAAAAGGGTGTGGCCCAAATAGGGGCATCAGGAGGGGGAAAAAGGGGGCAAAATTAGGTAAATCTTTAAAAATCTTCTTCTCATGAACCAACAGTCAGATTAAATTCATAATTGATATTTAGGGTCCTTATGGCATGGTCTACAAAGTTTGCGAATGAAAAAAAAATTGGGTCTAAAACAGCCCCACTAGGGGGCGCTAAAAAGGGTCAAAAATTCAACTTTGACCGATTTCAACCAAATTTGGTAGAAAGCATCCTTTAGTGAAGAACATATGAAATTATGTTGAAAAAAGTGATTATGTCTCCTTTGGGGCCCATAAGGGGTGTAAAAGGGGCCATATGTAAAAACCTTCTTTAAATGACTTCTTCTCAAGAACCACTGAATAGATTTTGACCAAACTTGGCACAAAGCATCCCCATGGGAACCCGCTTCAAGTTTGCAAAGAAAAAGGGTGTGGCCCAAATAGGGGCCGCAGGAGGGGGAAAAAGGGGGCAAAATTAGGTAATTTTTAAAAATCTTCTTCTCATGAACCAACAGTCAGATTAAATTCATAATTGATATTTAGGGTCCTTATGGCATGGTCTACAAAGTTTGCGAATGAAAAAAAAATTGGGTCTAAAACAGCCCCACTAGGAGGCGCTAAAAAGGGTCAAAAATTCAACTTTGACCGATTTCAACCAAATTTGGTAGAAAGCATCCTTTAGTGAAGAACATATGAAATTATGTTGAAAAAAGTGATTATGTCTCCTTTGGGGCCCATAAGGGGTGTAAAAGGGGCCATATGTAAAAACCTTCTTTAAATGACTTCTTCTCAAGAACCATTGGATGGATTTTGACCAAACTTGGCACAAAGCATCCCCATGGGAAGCCGCTTCAAGTTTGCAAAGAAAAAGGGCATGGCCCCAATAGGGGCCGCAGGAGGGGGAAAAGGGGGGTAAATTTAGGTAAATTTTTAAAAATCTTCTTCTCATGAACCAACAGTCAGATTAAGTTCATATTTGATATTTAGGGTCCTTATGGCATGTTCTACAAAGTTTGCGAATGAAAGATATTGGGTCAAAAACGGCCCCACTAGGGGGCGGTAAAAAGGGTCAAAAATTCAACTTTGACCGATTTCAACCAAATTTGGTAGAAAGCATCCCTTAGTGAAGGACATATGAAATTATGTTGAAAAAAGTGATTATGTCCTCTTTGGGGCCCATAAGGGGTGTAAAAGTGGCCATATGTAAAAACCTTCATTAAATTATTACTTCTCAAGAACCAGTAGATGGATTTTGACCAAACTTGGCACAAAGCATCCCCATGGGAAGCCGCTTCAAGTTTGCGAAGAAAAAGGGCGTGGCCCCAATAGGGGCCCCAGGAGAGGGAAAAAGGGGAAACTTGATACAAATGTTTTACACAAGGTCCTGGCTAGTGTTTTAACTTTTTGGGGCAATTCAAAATCCAAGATGGCCACCATGGCCTCTGTTTGGCTAAGACATTATGGACTTTCTCTCAAGAACCATTGGGTGGGTCATGTTCAAACTTGGTACACATGTTTTATACATGGTCTTGCACAAGTGTTGTTTCATTTTTGCAACATTTTAAAATCCCCAGATTATTGGCATATATTCCTCAAGGACCGTTAAGGCCCCTTGGGCCTCTTGGTATGAAGTCTATTGTTTCTTTATTTGACAGAAAAAATTATTTTTATCATTATATTTTTTAACTTCTGAATAACTTAAAAATCAAGGATCTTGTAGTTTGGTGGTAGTGGTGTTTTTGGAGGAAGGGCTATCCAGGGTTTACATGAAAGACAATTTTCAACATTACCGTGGTTAAATGATACTATCTAGGTTCTTTGAAAAGAATATCCAGGTCACAGAGGTCAATTAATTTAAGAGGTTAAAGAACTACAACATACTAACTCTTTTTTTTTTTCCTTTTTTTTAAACATTTTCTTCAAGTTGGTAATGTCAAAAGAATAGAAATCCTTATAACACAACCAGTAGACCATTAGAGTGTGAGGTTTCGATGAATACACGGTCACCTTCATCTTATAACACAACCAGTAGACTATTAGAATGTGACGTTTCGATGAATACACGGTCACCTTCATCTTATAACACAACTAGTAGACCATTAGAATGTGACGTTTCGATGAATACACGGTCACCTTCATCTTATAACACAACCAGTAGACTATTAGAATGTGACGTTTCGATGAATACACGGTCACCTTCATCTTATAACACAACCAGTAGACTATTAGAATGTGACGTTTCGATGAATACACGGTCACCTTCATCTTATAACACAACCAGTAGACTATTAGAATGTGACGTTTCGATGAATACACGGTCACCTTCATCTTATAACACAACTAGTAGACCATTAGAGTGTGAGGTTTCGATGACTACAAGGTCACCTTCATCTTATAACACAACTAGTAGACCATTAGAGAGTGAGGTTTCGATGACTACACGGTCATCTTAATCTTATAACACAACCAGTAGAAGATTAGAGTGTAACGTCAACTTCATCAGACAAAGGACCAGTGTTGAGTGTACTAGCACTGATGTACGTAGTGTACGTGTACAGTGCAGCCAAAAAAGTTGGTCAGTTCCTTACCATCTCTCACTCTATGTACATTAGTGCATGCGCCACTACTACACTACATGTACACTATGTGCGATAACCAAAAACAAATCACAATTATTTTGTCTATGTGTCAATAAGGGAGATAACTCTGACATAAATTACAGATATAATTTGTAGGTTAACATATACACTGAAGATTGGTTGAAACAGACTAAATCAATAAATGAATTGGGAAAAAAGAAAAGAAGACCTGGAAAATATCCTTTAGGTAACCTGAACAGGGTGACAGGTCATACATCACAGATATAATATCCTTTAGGTAACCTGAACAGGGTGACAGGTCATACATCACACATATAATATCCTTTAGGTAACCTGAACAGAGTGACAGGTCATACATCACAGATATAATATCCTTTAGGTAACCTGAACAGGGTGACAGGTCATACATCACAGATATAATATCCTTTAGGTAACCTGAACAGGGTGACAGGTCATACATCACAGATAAAATATCCTTTAGGTAACCTGAACAGGGTGACAGGTCATACATCACAGATATAATATCCTTTAGGTAACCTGAACAGGGTGACAGGTCATACATCACACATATAATATCCTTTAGGTAACCTGAACAGGGTGACAGGTCATACATCACAGATATAATATCCTTTAGGTAACCTGAACAGGGTGACAGGTCATACATCACACATATAATATCCTTTAGGTAACCTGAACAGGGTGACAGGTCATACATCACAGATATAATATCCTTTAGGTAACCTGAACAGGGTGACAGGTCATACATCACACATAAATATCCTTTAGGTAACCTGAACACAGATATAATATCCTTTAGGTTAACATATACACTGAAGATTGGTTGAAACAGATATAATATCAATAACCTGGGTGATCCTTTAGGTAACCTGAACAGGGTGACAGGTCATACATCACAGATATAATATCCTTTAGGTAACCTGAACAGGGTGACAGGTCATACATCACAGATATAATATCCTTTAGGTAACCTGAACAGGGTGACAGGTCATACATCACACATATAATATCCTTTAGGTAACCTGAACAGGGTGACAGGTCATACATCACACATATAATATCCTTTAGGTAACCTGAACAGGGTGACAGGTCATACATCACACATATAATATCCTTTAGGTAACCTGAACAGGGTGACAGGTCATACATCACAGATATAATATCCAGGGTGACAGGTCATACATCACAGATATAATATCCTTTAGGTAACCTGAACAGGGTGACAGGTCATACATCACAGATATAATATCCTTTAGGTAACCTGAAAAGGTCATACATCACAGATATAATATCCTTTAGGTAACCTGAACAGGGTGACAGGTCATACATCACAGATATAATATCCTTTAGGTAACCTGAACAGGGTGACAGGTCATACATCACAGATATAATATCCTTTAGGTAACCTGAACAGGGTGACAGGTCATACATCACAGATATAATATCCTTTAGGTAACCTGAACAGGGTGACAGGTCATACATCACAGATATAATATCCTTTAGGTAACCTGAAAAGGTGACAGGTCATACACAAATCACAGAAATAATATAAAAACCCATAAAATTTGTACAGAATAGGAAATGATCTTTACAAATATACTTCTGTGGTTGCTGTATATGTTATCTCTTGTATATTTGTTCAATTTCACCAAGTATTATTCTTGTTTGTTTTATAGATTGTGGACTCCAACTACTATGACCCACCAGATAAAGTGAAGAAAGTGCGAATACGAAAATATAAGTTGAACCTGAGACGAGTGTTTGTGATAGGACTGTGTGTTAGCTCCATTGGGATTGTATTCTGGAAGAGAACCTCTGTACAGCAACTGTGCACTAGATACTTCAATAACCTGATCTCTAGATGACATCTAATACAAAATGGTCAGTCCAGTGTATCTCTTACCACACAGTGTGTTAAATGGTCAGATGGTCAGTGTGTAGACTTGTGACTGGTCAGTCATTGGTCAGATGGTCAGTGTGGAGACTTGTTACTGGTCAGTCATTGGTCAGATGGTCAGTGTGGAGACTTGTGACTGGTCAGTCATTGGTCAGATGGTCAGTGTGGAGACTTGTTACTGGTCAATCATTGGTCAGATGGTCAGTGTGGAGACTTGTGACTGGTCAGTCATTGGTCAGATGGTCAGTGTGGAGACTTGTGACTGGTCAGTCATTGGTCAGATGGTCAGAGTGGAGACTTGTTACTGGTCAGTCATTGGTCAGATGGTTAGTGTGTAGACTTGTTACTGGTCAGTCATTGGTCAGATGGTCAGTGTGTAGACTTGTTACTGATCAGTCATTGGTCAGATGGTCAGTGTGGAGACTTGTTACTGGTCAGTCATTGGTCAGATGGTCATTGTGTAGACTTGTGACTGGTCAGTCATTGGTCAGATGGTCAGTGTGTAGACTTGTTACTGGTCAGTCATTGGTCAGATGGTCAGTGTGGAGACTTGTGACTGGTCAGTCATTGGTCAGATGGTCAGTGTGTAGACTTGTTACTGGTCAGTCATTGGTCAGATGGTCAATGTGGAGACTTGTTACTGGTCAGTCATTGGTCAGATGGTCAGTGTGTAGACTTGTTACTGATCAGTCATTGGTCAGATGGTCAGTGTGGAGACTTGTGACTGGTCAGTCATTGGTCAGATGGTCAGTGTGTAGACTTGTGACTGGTCAGTCATTGGTCAGATGGTCAGTGTGTAGACTTGTTACTGGTCAGTCATTGGTCAGATGGTCAGTGTGGAGACTTGTCACTGGTCAGTCATTGGTCAGATGGTCAGTGTGGAGACTTGTGACTGGTCAGTCATTGGTCAGATGGTCAGTGTGTAGACTTGTGACTGGTCAGTCATTGGTCAGATGGTCAGTGTGGAGACTTGTTACTGGTCAGTCATTAGTCATATGGTCAGTGTGGAGACTTGTTACTGGTCAGTCATTGGTCAGATGGTCAGTGTGTAGACTTGTTACTGGTCAGTCATTGGTCAGATGGTCAGTGTGGAGACTTGTTACTGGTCAGTCATTGGTCAGTGTGTAGACTTGTGACTGGTCAGTCATTGGTCAGATGGTCAGTGTGTAGACTTGTTACTGGTCAGTCATTGGTCAGATGGTCAGTGTGGAGACTTGTGACTGGTCAGTCATTGGTCAGATGGTCAGTGTGTAGACTTGTTACTGGTAAGTCATTGGTCATATGGTCAGTGTGGAGACTTGTGACTGGTCAGACATTGGTCAGATGGTCAGATAGGAGACTTGTGACTGGTCAGTCATTGGTCAGATGGTCAGTGTGTAAACTTGTGACTGGTCAGTCATTGGTCAGATGGTCAGTGTGTAGACTTGTGACTGGTCAGTCATTGGTCAGATGGTCAGTGTGTAAACTTGTGACTGGTCAGTCATTGGTCAGATGGTCAGTGTGTAAACTTGTGACTGGTCAGTCATTGGTCAGATGGTCAGTGTGGAGACTTGTGACTGGTCAGTCATTGGTCAGATGGTCAGTGTGTAAACTTGTGACTGGTCAGTCATTGGTCAGATGGTCAGTGTGGAGACTTGTGACTGGTCAGTCATTGGTCAGATGGTCAGTGTGTAGACTTGTGACTGGTCAGTCATTGGTCAGATGGTCAGTGTGGAGACTTGTGACTGGTCAGTCATTGGTCAGATGGTCAGTGTGGAGACTTGTTACTGGTCAGTCATTGGTCAGATGGTCAGTGTGTAGACTTGTGACTGGTCAGTCATTGGTCAGATGGTCAGTGTGTAGACTTGTTACTGGTCAGTCATTGGTCAGATGGTCAGTGTGGAGACTTGTGACTGGTCAGTCATTGGTCAGATGGTCAGTGTGTAGACTTGTTACTGGTAAGTCATTGGTCATATGGTCAGTGTGGAGACTTGTGACTGGTCAGTCATTGGTCAGATGGTCAGATAGGAGACTTGTGACTGGTCAGTCATTGGTCAGATGGTCAGTGTGTAAACTTGTGACTGGTCAGTCATTGGTCAGATGGTCAGTGTGTAGACTTGTGACTGGTCAGTCATTGGTCAGATGGTCAGTGTGTAAACTTGTGACTGGTCAGTCATTGGTCAGATGGTCAGTGTGTAAACTTGTGACTGGTCAGTCATTGGTCAGATGGTCAGTGTGTAAACTTGTGACTGATCTATCATTAGAAAATTGTCAGTGTATGAAGATTTCACCAGTCAGTTATTGCTGGTGTGGGACTCTGAACTGATCTAGGAAAGCTGTAACTGTAAATTTCAAAGTTAACTCTTGTTCCTGTAAAAAATATCACACTTATTATTTGCCATAATGAAATTAATAGTCAAAGGGGCAGAAATGGGGAAAAGAACAAAATAAACATGGATACTTTCCCATGGACAAATGCAATGCTGATTTAGTAACTGGATGTAAGATTTCTATATATTCCTTAGTCCCAGATAACAATCATATGTGGTTTTATTATAAAATTATCATTTATTTGATCATTTTTACTAATAATATAATACATCTTACAAAACACAAGCACCAATTTGAATGAGATTTAGAGAGGTATGCTTCATTGGGGACAAGAGTGATTTGGACTGGGAGCAAATATTCATGGGACCAGAATTGGAAATAAAATGTTACTGTTTATACATCTGAAGGAAAAATTATTCCCATAGTATCTCTAATAAATTTTCCAGGGGGGATGGGAGTTGGGGGTTTGAGAACTTACAGAGCCTTTTCAGTTCTGGAAATTTGACATGATTGTGGCAACAAGTGATGTCACATTTGATTGTCTACATAACAAGTAACTGCAAAGGGAGATAGTATTATTGAATCAAACATTTTGGAAATAAATCTAGATGAGAAAAGTTTGTCCAATTTTGATACAACCATGTTCCAAAAAAGAATCTATGACCCATATATATGTTTAAAACTTATTAATATTGGTCTGAAGCCGATATTCTGTAACATCTCTTTATTTGCTTTGCCTCAAATTAGAATTTAAGTGTTGGCCTGCGACTGAGATACACTGAACACACAACACTCACATGTAACAGTTTCTATTAACGTTGGATTGCTTTTTCTCGACTCAGTACTCAAGACAACTTAAGGGAAAAAAGGTGTCAAATATATATATGGTAACAAACAAGGGTATCATTACCTTACCTTATAGGTTTAGCACAAGATTAGAAATGGTATGTGCATAGAACCTTGACTTCTGTCCCATGTTGTTAATTTAGTGTTTCAGTAGTATGATTTCATAGTACAGGTGAACTGAAAGAGTTCTGTTTGATCTTTCATCCTTTCTGCAAACTTCCAGTATGTTATCAATCATCATCATTCAATTCTATGATTGTTATGGATGTTTGAAATAGATTTACATGTGGTTGTGCCAAATAAAACAGTTTTTATTTATTGTACTTATGTATTATTATTGTGACACTGTTATCAGAGACGTATGATTTTGGACATTGTAGAATAAGTATGCATAATCATTATTAAATGATATATCAGATCGTTTTTTTCTGGTACAGAAGTTCTTGAAGTGTAACACAATCGGCAGAATCTCCTTCTATATATCTCCTTATAACATCAATGTTATCTCCTTATAACATCCTTATATATCTCCTTATAACATCAATGTTATAAGATGTAATATATTGTTGTTCTTTATCCTATTAATAGTCAAGGTCATTTAAGGATGTGCCAGGTTTGGCTAGAGTTCCAAAGTAAAACCATCAATCTACAGCCAACAATTATACCAACAGTGGTAACAATTATAACAACAGTGGTAACAATTATAACAAAAGTGGTAACAATTATAACAACAGTGGTAACAATTATAACAACAGTGGTAACAATTATAACAACAGTGGTAACAATTATACCAACAATTATAACAACAGTGGTAACAATTATAACAACAGTGGTAACAATTATACCAACAATTATAACAACAGTAGTAACAATTATAACAACAATGGTAACAATTATACCAACAATTATAACAACAGTAGTAACAATTATAACAACAATGGTAACAATTATAACAACAATGGTAACAATTATAACAACAGTGGTAACAATAATAACAACAGTGGTAACAATTATAACAACAGTGGTAACAATTATACCAACAATTATAACAACAATAGTAACAATTATACCAACAGTGGTAACAATTATACCAACAGTAGTAACAATTGTACCAACAGTGGTAACAATTATAACAACAATGGTTACACTTATACCAACAGTGGTAACAATTATAACAACAGTGGTAACAATTATACCAACAGTGGTAACAATTATACCAACAGTGGTAACAATTATAACAACAGTGGTAACAATTATACCAATAGTGGTAACAATTATAACAACAGTGGTCAGTGGTAACAATTATACCAACAGTGGTAACAATTATACCAATAGTGGTAACAATTATAACAACAGTAGTAACAATTATAACAACAATGGTAACAATTATAATAACAGAGGTAACAATTATACCAACAGTGGTAACAATTATAAACAATTGATGCAACATTGAAGGCGGTGTATTTCAAATTGAAATTTGTTGTTTGAATGTGTCCATCAAGTTAAAAACCCGTGAGCCAAAGGTGAAAAAAAAATCGGAAATAGTTTCTGCTTAATGGCTTTAAAAATCTCGGGGGATGAGGGGTATTTGAATTATATATTGATGTCATCTGACCTAGAGTCATTAAGTCAGTCATCTTGTGCCTTCTGCTGTAACTAAGACTTTAAGCTTCTGTTAAATGGCACGTGTGGCAGTTGGAGAAGAGGTTTAAAACAGGGCTTTCAAGATGGCGATTATCTTGTATATTGGACTGATTGGAAATATATGAACACTTGGTCAATCCCAGCCTATGATCAACTGAAGCAAGTTTTAGCTCAACCTTATTTGC